TATCATCGTGTATTTTGGGTCCAAATAGATGAGAAACACTTGGACACGTGTTACTTTTTAGATCTAAGGATGGTCCTGTCAAAATGGCCAGATTAGGAGATTCGGCGAAGATTTTGTTAGATCAATTAGGTTAATGCCTGAAGGTTAAGAGCACTATACATCTGCGTTATTCATGTTGATAACCATCCGCATTTAGTGAGCTTGTAGAGCGATTTAAACAAGAAATACCCCTTTTAACAGTTGAATACTATAGGATTTGACAACCTGAGGCTGATCAGCAAGTGATTTATTCGCAGCATGATAGGATATAGCCTCGCAGTCTTACAATCAACAACCTCATATCAAATGATCTGGTGTTGACTGGATCCTCGAGTGGCAAGTCCCCAAACAGAAGATCAAAGTTACTTGTGGGACTTTGTCCTTTCCCCGCGTATTACCTATAACTCATAGGCAGTTCGAATCTCCCTAGACACTCGTGATATACGCACTGCTGTATGTTTCGGTGAATCTGAGGAATGAGTTGCAACAAATCCCAAGCTACAGAAATTTCGAATGTGAATGAATTTGCCTCCATGTTTTGTAACTCAATGACCTGTAGACTGCGCATGCGGCCTCCGATGTGTTTCGAATCCGACCTCCGGCTCTCGACTTCCCCTGTCTAGGCTTGGGCAACCTGGCAGTATCCCAGCCCTCGTGCTTACTTCGGGTGGCATGGCAGCTAGGCACCCAAAGGGTGCTACAGCTGAACGCTTTCTTTCTCCAATGGGTCACCAGCCTCCATGCTACAAGGCAATAGTTCAGAATTTGACTGCTTAATTCATGTTCACTAACTGTGAAACTCTAAAAAGCAAGAGAGGAATTTCGGCAAGTACACTCTTGGTCGGGTAGAACACAAGGTCGACTGAAACCTGGGCTGTTGGTGAGTTTTCCGTAACCTTATATGAAGTGCGTCACGTCAAAGGAGAAAAAATTATATATAAACATTTATAACTGCGGCAGACAGCCAAAATTGGTCATCAATGCCGACCAGCATCTGGCACAACGAAATTCACGTTTATCATTCATTCATCAGACACAATGTGGACTTCCGTTTAGCTGGAATCTGTCTCAACAATTGGTAGAATACGGCCAATGAAGTTCACAGATTCAAAATACACTATTGTTACCCGCTGCAATGCAAAGGTGATAGTCTCGTGAGCTGTCGAAGAGTTTTCAGCAACCTTGTGAGTAGGTTCCTTTCAAGAAAAGATACTGCGATATCTCGAAAATTGTACCAAATGAAACATGAGGCGGCCTGTGTGCGGCACATTCAGTTGTGAAATATCATAAACGCGAGATTCAGTTGAGTCTCCCGTGAGAACCAAATTGATTTGCAAATCAGTGTGTTTCTCGAAAACAGTCCAATTTGGGTTCAAGTAGAACGCAAGATTGACGAGAACTCGGGGACACTCGGGGACTGCGCCTACCTGATGAGCCCCAACAAGGGCGAAACAGGTCGTGAGCTGTCGAAGGGTTTTCAGCAATCTTGTGAGTAGATTCCTTTAAGAAAACATACTGCGATATCTCGAAAATTGTACCTGTGTGCAGCACATTCAGTTAAAGAACGTCACTTTAGTCTCCCGTGAAAACCAAATCGATTTACAAATGAATGTATCTATGATTCGGGTTCTTGCATTCAGAAATTTAGACGGTCTATGTTGTAACGACTTCCCCAGGTGTTCAAGACAGTATTATTCCGACAGAATAACGCTTCGACTCGTACCACTTATACCAGTGGCATCTGCTTGAGGTACTTGTAATTTTGGGCTCGTCTCCATGGTCCTCTCGCTTCGCTGCAAGTTGAGAAAAGCTGCTGGATGTTAGTACGCTGTATGAACTAGCAAGTGTACTTTGGTCTGGACTTAATCCAATTACCCACCAGATGCTTGCGCGAAATCTGAGTCAAACTGAGAAATGTACACTACCTTGAACAGTTTGTTTTTTTGGGGGGCAAGATGGCTTAAGTGGTTACAGCGCGAATTTACTGATCGGAAGGTCCGTAGTTCGAAACTGACCTCTGCCTCTCGACTTCCCCTGGCTGGGCTTGGGCAACCTGGCAGTATAACAGCCCTCGTGCTTCCTTCGGGTAGCATGGCAGCTAGGCACCGAAAGGGTGCTACAGCTGAGCTGAACGATTACAGTTTGTTCTACGATAGTCCAGTTCACAGCTGTATTTAGGTTATTTATGACTCGAAATAATGAAATAGATAAAAGGAAACTAGTACGCCAAATTCTTGAGGAGAAGGCTCTATTATTTCTGCGGAATCAATTGGATCGATTTCCATCACTACGTTGTAAGGTCAGGTTGGGATGGAAAAAAATACCTCTCTGATGATTGTGTCAACCCCGGTCAATTATCGCTGTGGTTAAAACGATAATTAAGCATAAAACTTGTTGGCAACCAGGCTATCGTGTACGAAACCCAGTATTTCAGAGACGCAATGCTACCTCACTGGCTTACCGAATGAATTGCCTCGCGAGTACCGTTTGAAAAATTTCACCAAGGGATGATCCAGGAAAACGGAATGAGAAAATCTATTCCTTACATGGCAGCATTTGATTGCTAGAAGGACTATCAGAATTTTCCGGCAGGTCGAGTTGCTATCACTTAGTTGGAACTTTCACGGTAGAGGGTAGACAGACTGAAGACGCATTCTGGTTATTTCCATACATCAAAACAAAGGGATTTGAACCAAAATCTCCAACTGACACGGACTGGTTTCTGGTCCCTCAAATTAGTGGCGCCTGCGCCCAAACCAATGACAAACTCTCAAGGAAACGGTCGAACAGTTCGTATGTCTCTCTCTCTCTAGACTGATAAAGCAAAAGTGTAGTTGCAATACCCAAAGAGGACTGCACTCGGATGCGCACTTCCCTGAAGTACTAGGAGGTTCAAGGTCGATGTTACCCCTGATAGCAATATACGGTTGGGGAGGCTGATCATCAGAGGCACTGATCTCCTTCGAAACGCGGATATCGTGTTGGCGAAATCTGTTGTCACCGGTCCCCTTTTACACATGTGATACCTTCACACACACACACACACACACACTTTCACACATGTGATACCTCCAAATGTGTACTAATACTAATTTATCAAGCGCTGAGAATGTCAGATGTTTGCGGATGTGAGCAATCTATGTTATCTAAAATAAGTTTGTTTTTTTTTGTCTGAGAAGGACTGAACGGCAAATTTCGCACACTAGGTTGACAGTATGTCTCTTATCATTGCAATCTTTGCTGGTGCGAACCTTGTCGATGGGAAGTACACAGACCGAATCGTCCCAAACCATAAAGATGAGCCAAGAAAAAGCGCTGTCCAATAAACTGATCATCCCATCATCTTCCGATATGCGTCCGACATCTACAAAGTGGAAGGTCGTGCTACATTACGTGAAGTCTGGAAAAAGTTCCTTTCAATTCAAGAAGCACCGAAGGCTGTGGAAAATTTTTTGTAGCTCAATAGATGTATTACCTCCGAGGATTGAGTTCTGATGAAGGCCGAGTCACGGCTGCCAATCTGCGTCAAATATGGCTTCGAAGAAGTACCTCGCCGGGTCTCAACGAACGCGAGTATCAGCCTGCAGTAATGGTTGTGTTGCTTAATGACTGAGAGGTAGAACTCTTGCGGACAGGTGATCTGGTGCATCTTGAAGTTTTTTGCCATTGATGTTTCAGAGGCGTTGCTGGTATCGCATGAATTCATAAAGTGGCAATTAGAACAGATGCTTCATTGTGCAACACGCGCATCAGTTACAGAACACAACCAACAGTAACTGCGACCGCTCGGTTGTGTTTCGATCATGCTGAATGTACAATCTCCTTTCAGCTGCGACAGGCATGGCAGAAAAGACCGATATTCATAGCTGAACGTCCAAGAGGGTGCTTGGTGTGCTTGCAGTATGTTACTTTTTTACGATGTTACCTTCACGTCAAAACTAATACAATCCGGTCTTTTTATATAAAAAGGACGGATTCGTCAAACAGATGAAAAGAAACCTATGCCAACCGTTTAAGCCTGTTGCTCTGTAAACCGGCAATATCTATCTTTGGGACACAGACGAGTGCTGGGGGGTTGCCTCAACTTGCACCTGTAGGTCTCAGGACTCAAGAGGACTACATTGCTATGTATCCCCTAATAGGATGCGACAACCTCATGGTGGTTTTGAGCTTCTGCGCGTAAGCTGATTGGCGCCCGTGACCACGGAAGCAATGTTCGGTTGATTTGTCTTTATTGCCTAATGGGGGCGAGATGGACCAAGTGATCAAGGCGCGAATTTACTGGCCGGAAGGTCCGTGGTTCGAACCCGACTTCTGCCACTTGGCTTCTCCTGTCTAGGCTTGGGTGACCTGGCAGTATCCCAGCCCTCGTGCCTCCTTCGTGTGGCATGGCAGCTTGACACCGAAAGGGTGCTGCAGCTGGACGATTTATTGACTGGTGAGTGTTGGTCGCACTACCTGTGTTCATTGGTCAGATAAAACGTTCAAACCTACCTGACCTGTGTTCTGATTGGCTTAACCGAGGTAGCTTCAACACCTTCGTAAGTTCATCCCACAGCTAGTCATTGGTGAATTTGTGATGATCCCCTAATCATGAGGGTCATACGAATAACATATCCAACAGCACGAAATTTTTGAGCCTGAAGGACAACAAAGACTGCAGTAGTGGGCGTGTGACCGAACTTGAACCTAGCCGCGAACAACTGGAGGAATATTGACGGAAGAGGTAGAATTACCTAAGTCATACAAGAATTCTCGCAACCAATACGTCAACTTAAAACTATCGAACGCAGAGTTAAACTGATGTCCCACCCAGTGAAAATTTCGTCAGTGATATCTGCTGATCCAAAGATCGTGGAGCTGTTCACACCTGGCGCACAATAAATATATGGCAACCATCTGTTAGTTCACTCTGTTCGAGACGAAGGAGCGAGAAGACATTGAGTTGAGAGTAGAACAATTTAGGTGACGTGCTTCTTTGTGCGAGGAAAAACAGGATCGTAGAGCATAGAGAAAACGAAAACCAAACCATGCCCACATTCCTCCCACACCCGAAATACGTGTCCATCAATACTTACCAGAACTCGTCCATCCACATGAATATTCTTTTTTCGAAGGACATGAGATGTTTTGTCATGAATATCAGTCCCCTTGCCCCCAGCTCGTGAACGCCGTGAACGTCGCATGGTGCAGCTGAATAGCGATGACCGTTTGGTCTTGTCGGGCTGATTAGTTTTATCTGAGTCTGTTCGGAACCAACCGATCATTCGACGCCATCTGGAGGGTTTTTTCTCCTTATCTTCTCCCGGCATGGTATTCCTTTATTTGAGAGCGAAAAAATGTCAACCCTACGAAAGACTCCTTGTGCGCACACTAAGCAAATTTTCCCCGTGTGTAAACACTCATTCTGCTGCTTAGTGTAGCTGGTGAGACAGTTGGATCGATTCACCCGTTTTGATTGGCCAGCCGAACACTCAGCAGTGTGAAGGTTTTCCTGAAAGTTGTCTACAACTATTGACCTTGCTGAAATATCGATCAAAACGGAGCCCAGTTCTGGAAAACTTTCCCATAGCCTCAGTCCGTTCTGGTCACGAGATTAAACTGTGTGAGATGTGGTATTGAAATTTTCACCTAATTGCTGCGCGTGCAGATGAGAAAGACCCATAAGGAGCTGGAAATAACGTTTGGTTACTGGCCAGGTCTACCTGAAATTCGGAGGTTTGTTCATACACACCTATTCTAAAACACGGTAAGGTAATTTGCATGATCGATACACTATCGATCCACTGAGACTATCCAAGATATAAAGAGAGGACTACTTCCTGGCAGTATATGCCTTCTAGACTGAACTCGAAATAGAACAACGATTAAAGCACGAAAATGCCGGCCGGAAATTTCTGGAATTCTGATTTATTCAAGGGTTTGACAACCTGGCAGTATCTCAGCACTCATTCATCGAATGGTCGCTAAAACTGGACCATTATTTTCCTATATTTGCCACCCGCACAATGAGACCTAGGCTGAATTGCTCGCCTATTCATAATGAGAACACAACACGTTCGAAGGGTCAAAAACCGTGTAGATTAAGCAGCCAACGAGTAAAGCAGTACATAATATGAAACGTTGATGGCTTGCATGAACTGGTGCGTAAAACTAGCCAGCAGATTTACTGTGAATCGGTTACTAATATGGCGGATCAATTGTCTGTAAGATACTCTGGTACCAAACATTTCGGCTGTTGTGGCAAGGTGGGGCGCGTCGTGGAAGCCATGACCCACCGGAAGTTCATACGATCTGTCCGTCAGCATATAGCGGGACGGTCAGCGGTCGGACCGCAGCAAACCCATTTACCCATGTGTAAATTCATATGCAAACCCGAATAGCTGTCAAATGTTTGTTTTGGAGAGGGCGAGTTAGGCCAAGTGATTAGAGCGCGAATTTAATGACGCAAGGTCGGCGGTTCGAACTACAGCTCTGCCTCTGCCTCTTGACTTCCCCTGTCTAGGCTTGGGCGACCAGGCAGTATCCCAGCCCTCGTGCCTCCTTTGTGTAACACGGAAGTTAAGCACCGAAAGGTTGCTACAGCTGAACGATTTTTTGACGTTGGTTATTTCTCCAAATTATACAAACTGTTGCTTATTAATTACGGTGGTATTGAAGATGAATTGGTCTGACAATCCCAAAAGACTTTCTAGCTATTCGTTTTTCTTCCGGAGGGAATGTAGTCTGTCCGAGTTCGGCTATTCGACCTTGCACTTATGTGCCATTAGTCCAAAATCGTATAACACCTGTGGCACATGGTACTTGTACACCGAATACTAGGAAATTATTAGAGAACCACTGTTGTGCAACAAACCATAATGAGAACTTGGGTTTTCGATTCACTGAAGCATATGCAAAAAATCAATAAGATGAAGGGGAAAGGCAGATCAGTTAAGGCAACCTCAACTCGGCTGGGAAACGGAAAACTCGAATGGTCAAAATGATAGATCTTATCAAAACTCAACGGGCGAGGTTTTGGGTAGCAAAAATAGCCGGGTGACTAAATCATAGACGGTCGACTTTTGCCTTTCACCGTTGCGACTCATTTTCTGTGGTGGAGGTGGTAGTTGAAACGGCAAAAAATCGTGAGACTCGAATAGTTTAACAGATCTACCGCTGATAGTGGGGCAGTTAAAACACTATCAAGCGGAAGTTTATAGAGCTAGACCTATGGGAAAAAAGATTGAGTGTTTGCTTTTTGAGAAGGGTCAAAATAACCAAAAATATGTAGGATAGGAATAATTCAAACCAAATTGTAGCACGGTTACTAGGCGAACAAACACGAATATCGATACGTGCAAAACTAAGCGAGGCGAATGCTCAGTTTACAGGGATAGAGAAAGAAGGAAATCGTTCAGTTGTAGCACCCTTTTGGTGCCCAACTGCCATGCCACCCAAAGGTTGGATGAGGGCTGGGATACTGCCAGGTTGCCCAAGTCTAGACAGGGGAAGTCGAGAGGCAGAGGTCGGGTTCGAACCACGGACCTTCCTGTCAGTAAATTCGCGCTCTAACCACTTGGGCCATCTCACAAGGATATATGTCTCGCTAGACAGAAAACTCAGCCAGAAACCATTTTGTCTTCCTCCAATGGTCAGTAGAGAAGAAGTATGACCATCATCAAGAGTAAAGTGTGGAATTTAATTCACCATCGGCAGCATGACGTCAGTGTTTAACCCCGATGATTCACCGCCGTACAACCATGATTTATTTGAAAGTCCTATTATGAAGAAAAGAATAAGGGTGAACGGGGAAGGGGCTCAGTGCTGGCTTACTACAATCAATCCGAGGTGCGTACACCTCGAGACATTCACTCAGGCAATCTGGATAGAAAATGACAACAAGATCACCACTGACAGCCATATATTGTAGTGTCTCTAACCAGGCACAGTAAGGATCACGCGGTCCCCATCCTGGAAGGCGAGTAGTACTGACAGCGCTACGTAATCTCCTTCATACTCCTCTGCCAAGTCAAAGATTGGCAGCCTCTGTGCTTACGCCACTCTGAATTGGGCATGGAAAACAGCACTCTCTTCGTTTAATCATTCATCTGTAGCGCCCTTTCGGTGCTTAGCTGCCATGCCACCCAAAGGAAGCACGAGGGCTGGGATACTGCCAGGTTGCCCAATTATGGACAGGGGAAGTCGAGAGGTAGAGGTCGGGTTTGAACCACGGAACTTGCGATCAGTAAATTCGCGCTCTAACCACTGAGCTATCTTGCCCACTAGCATCTGTGTTTAGCTTAGTAATTCTAAGTTACCAAGAATTCAGCAACGGGCAGGAAAATAAGACCGAACAGTTAAGGTCCGTTTATTCGTCTCGTGCATTGTTCGTTGCTAAAACAGCGTCACCATAAACTTCGTTCAGAGAATGCTGTGGCGCGGTGAGTTTTCAGGACGCAGTATAAAGTAAAGGAATGTCTTTACACTGTTTAGGTCACGAGAAGTAACTACCGAGATCATACCATAAAAATAGGTGATCGGAACTCAACTCAATGCAGTCTAGCAAATTACTTTAGGACGTTAAGTCATGTTGCTTCTTGGACGCCATCAGACAGCTCCACAACTGGTATATCAACACAAACGTTTCGTGTTTGCTGAGCGTTGGCACTGAGAGAGTTGGGAGTTTGCAGGAAATCTGACATCCATCCAGCCAACTTTTCGCTCCACCGTTGTGACGATTAAGCACTAGGCAGTGATGCCAAATGACACGCAGATCAGGGCGGTACGGCAGCGAAGCATCACTGTCGATGATGAGGACGCGATCGGTAAAATCCCAAAGGGATACCTTTGGCCGTAGAATGTCCTAAGCTGTCATCACCTGGACAGTGACAGGTTCCACGTCGATCAAGTGGCTGGATAATTAAACCATATATTTTACAGATACTGATGTGATAAAGGAATAAGTTCTCCTAAATACCTCGGGGTGTACCGACGAAGAGTAACTGGAGCTGCGCATATCCAGATCGCTTTCAAGTTCAGGGGAAACATTCATTTTTTGCTGATTCTTCAAAGATCGTTCTAACTGAAGAGCTTGGCACGGTCTACCGCTCCAACAATACATCATGCAAGTGTGACTTGGGCTTAGTTTGTCGTGTAATCTGTTATAAACAGACACCATTGTTTTCAACTGACATGAGTGTAGGGCGGTGGAGCACCAGTTCTCATCTGGTGTAGCTGTCAATGATGGCCCAAGTGGTTAGAACGCGAATTTACTGACCGGGAACCCGACCTCTGCCACTCGACTTCCCCTGTCTAGGCTTGGGCAACCTGGCAGTATACCAGCCCTCGCGCAACCTTCGGGTGGCATGGCAGTTAGGCACCGAAAAGGTGCTACAGCTGAACGACGCTGTCAATGATGACTATTTGGTTGTTCTCAACTGAAACCAGGAATGATACATATTAGCACACTGAAATTTCTTTGCAATTAGCCTGTATTGCTGTTTTGTCGTGACATCCTGACCGCCACATGGGAGTCGCAAAACTGTTAATCCATTTACAAACGGCAAGGACACCATTCTACTCGTCACCTACAAGTAACAAGATTCCCCCACATAGTGTGATAAACCAACGGTTTCGTGCACTAATGGCTTTAGCACTGTGCTCGTTTTGTTCCTTTGAGTACTTACCAGTTAAGGAGCATCTAGATAGCTCCTCAGTAGCTGATTAGAAAATGCGTTTGGTAATACTTACTTCGCCCGGATACCTTGTTCGATGTGGAGCAGATCTGGATAGGAATACCAACTCACTGGCATTCAATAAAGGCATTTAAAAACGAGAACAGAAACAGATCTTCACCAGCATTCACTATTCAGAAAAGCAAGCGAGGTCCTCTGACGATCACATTGTGAAGTAACTGGTCACGCATAGATTTACACTAAGGATCAGCGTGATAAACGACTGGTCTTTGCAGATGTCGATTGAATCGACAAAAACGTTGCGGGAAACGAGCATGACAGATGTGGAGAGAGTTGATTGGAAAAACTGTGCGAAAGCGCACGGTACATATCGCGTACAGCAAGTGCGAATGTAACAGATAAAAGTATGCATCACAGCCATTGATAATTGAAAGATATAAACTGTAACCGCATATCGAAATCCGACAAAGTCAGAGATGATTAGTGGCCAACTGACAAGCATCGGACAAAAGGAGAGGGCGGTATGTAAAAAAAATGAAGCCTGACGGTAAAATCCACGCATGTGGAAATGGTTGTGATAAAAGTGACCGAATCCGGCAGAAACCGCCCAGTGTGTGTGCACATCACCATAAGATACACACAAAAGTGCAATAAACAACCAGTATCATGATGTACGGAGCTGGTAGTCGCCGTTTTGAGTTATGTATCGTACCCAAGGTAACGCATGGTAGCCGGTTTTTTCAATGATCTTCAGGTGTTGAACCTGTAGGAACAAAAAATAGACTAAGTGAAAAGCGACCCAAAGTATATAAGACGATCAGCCGAGAGTTTAGCCATTCTCTCAGACATCTGAATTACCCCAAGCAATAAATGCCGCCAAAATGCAAAAAAAAACATGAAATCCGATACGAGCATCAATTGGGGACCGGGACATTGACCATCATGTTGATAAACTATCCTATTCTCATGAAATAACAAAAAACATTTTGATAACGGACAAAGATTGATTCAAGGGGACCAGACTTCTGACTTACCTTTGGAGCACTATTGGGCTGGCCCTGATCCGAAAGGTGTTCTAATTTTGTGCTACTAACAAGTTACAAGTAGTCTGGGATCACAATGGATGACAGCTATTGTCTGTTCGCAATCGAACTGTTGCAGCGTAGGTCGACACGGGTTGTGCAACACGGTGGTCAATGGGCATCACGTGTAAAATGTTCGCTTGACTCAAAAACTGCTCGGATACGTATACTATCAACTGTGTACACGAAAATAGCCGAAAATCGCTAGCTAAAAAACACTGAACAAACGGTCTTGTCAGTTCCCAATTTATTTGCGTTGTGAATAGAGCGTTGCTCCTGAAGAATCAACAATCTGAAGGTTTTATGCTCTTGTTAATCGAACGACACACTTAAGTGCACGCCATGAACTCGTAATACCACTTGACAGGCACGAAGCTCCCTGACCCACTGCGGCAGCAACAACGTAGAAACCCGGCACCGAACAGTTTGGTCCGTACAAGAAGTATTAGTAAGAAAAAACACAACATCGAAAATCGATTGGCCAACAAGTGATCGCTGGATAACAGAAATGTGCTCAGTTAGACTGGATGACGACTAGCGAGGCAAGGGGAGTAATTGCGTGCGCGTGCCATCATACGCAGGGGAACGATTTCTAGGAGTCAATTTCTCCTGCTAGCGAAGTCACCCGATGATTAGGCAGAAAACAACACTAAAACAAAAGTGAGACAAAAATGTTAAAAATGGGTGAATTCCTTTTGTTCGCTCGATAAAGCCTCGACATAAGCTGTCACTTTATCGTGGTGGTCGGGCTTCAGCGCAGCAATGATCCCTCGGGCTTCATTGGCTGCAAATCGGTTCCTAATGGTTCAACAATGCCAATAAAACCCAACGAAGGACAGCGAGACCCCGTACTACGAGTAATCGTGCTACGAGGCGGTCTGGGGGTAAAGTCGTACTGTCCTCTGCGACAGGAGTGTGAAGGCAGTAAGGTGTTTCCCCCAGGCGACCAGCATGTCCATATTTATGGAAGCAGCGATGCTGCCTTCCCCCGAGGAAGGACGGGTTAGAAAAGGTCGGCCCCAAAAACCGCACACTCCGATCGCCCAACGGTTGACCGTGACCGCCAGCGCATTATCCTAAAACCAAAGAGCCCAGTGCTGCTCAAAAGGCACCTGCTGTGCGCAGCCGCATCAGGAATGAGACAGTAATGCCTTATTCCCTGCGCCCTCGGGTTAGGCCAACAACCCGTTGCAGCTGAACAGGTCAGACTGTTGAGTCGTCGGCTCCGGGTAGGGACCCAAAGAAAACCCTACATTTTCCTACTACCTCATGGGTCAGGCTTTTGAGTCGGAGGCTAGGGTCAGGGTCCCTGAACAAAACCCTACGTCATCCCATTGTCTTGTGGGTCAGACTTCTGAGTCAAAGGCTCAAGGTGGAGTTCCTCAACTAAAATCAATTCCTCGGCTTGGGCAAATGAAAAATAGCATTCGCCCAAACAGTTCCAACCACGAGCAAACGTCGCTGGGTCATTTGACCGAAGGGCCTTATGCTCCCCGACGCCTAATAACAATAAACGGAATAACATTTCTAAATCCATGAGATAATTTCTGCATAGGAGCTTTTAGCGTCTGTACTGTATGTAGAATTGACAAACAGGCAACGCTCGGTGAAATCTTGTATTCCCTTGAAATTAACGTATGCTGTCTCCGAAACACGCGTACAAGACCCAAGCGTGGTTGCGATCGTCTCAGAATGACAAGGACGAACTTAGATCTCACACCCAACACCATGCAGTGCATAACCACTGAGCAACCAAACTCGTTAGACCATAGCTAGTCACACAGGGTTGAAACGTAGTGGACAGAAAAGGTTGCCGTTAGCACAGGATCGCTCACCTGTAGACCGGAGACGGTGAAGTACGGTATTTCAAAGCGGACTGAAATAGGTGGCTTCGATTCTACTTCTTGCTCACGCTCCACGGATGGTAATCCGAAACTGGCTCTCAGAATATACTCTTTGCCTCCAGGGAAACTGCGTATGGTCCACACCACCACATTAGTTTCTGGGACGTACTTGGCACTGCCCATGGTTGTTTTGAACCGTGGTGAATCGACATCGGAAGGTACCGGTACGTGAATTTCGACCTGGTTGGCAGTGCTACGACGTTTGAACTGGGCCTTGGCCTACGAAAGGACAGGTCCAATGCACTGATCATTAGACGATGGGAAAGATAGACTCAACGGCAAACTTATTAGAAATGTGTCCTTAATAATGAGGATCAGTCGTGAGTACGGCATTGTATAACAATGTAAAATATTCTCCAACGATCTACTTTTCAAGAGTGCATAAATAAATCAAGCTTCGAAAAAATTCATAAAAAATGAGGATGACTTTCAAAACACTACGTAAAAACCTGGTAGACGAAAGCTGGGCGCGCGCCGAGGACGCCAAAATACTTTCAGTGTTTGACCATCGACTTCTTCGGAACATTGTCCGAGTCTGTTGGGTACACCGGATCAGCAATGCTGAGGTACGTCGAATGGTATTCGGAAGAAATGGCTCATACACGATAGATGAAATGATCACACTGCATAGGCTGTGCTAGCTTAGCCACGTGCCCCGTATGCCAGTCGACCGACTTCCTCGAAGGGTTCTTTTCGCACAACCACGTGAAGGGTGGAGACGAGCCAGGGTAGGTCAAACAATAACTTGGAAGCGAAGTATAAAAGCTATTAACAGCAAACCCAGCTGCGTTGGTCATTGCCGTCTTCCTGGATGGGGATCCCGAGACGGGCCACATCAATGGTTCGAGACATTGTTAGACATGGCCCAGTCGCGCCCTCAATAGCACTCGCGCATCCAAGCTATTGCCTTCAATTCATAGCTCCCTTCCCAACCCCGCACTTAACAGTCCGTTGACAGTGCTGTATTTACGTGTCAATTTATCAGCTCCCGCCTCCTATGCGAAGCTACCTACCCCACCTCCCCAAATCATCGGTGAACGAAACTGTGGCAGCTAGAACCACTGTATGACAAGTACGTGGTTCTTACAGCTGATAATGATGATGATGATGACAAGTTATTTTGGTTGGCTTAGTGGTATAAGTCTGCAGAATAACTTTCCAAAAATCCCTGAATTACTCAAATTCCGTGGAGATTTGTTAGTCTGCGTACAATCGTTACCCTAAAACCAGAATTGACACTGCTGTAAGTCTAACAGGTGACACTGATGAGCTTCTCCATTGACCAGCAAGCATGCGATTCTGATCTAATGACGCACAAGGAGTTTGTTATCGTCAACGAGGAAACTGAAACTGAATGGGTTGGGTTCGCCGAAGACATTGTAACAGAGACTGATAAAACATCGACAGAATTGGTCACCGAGTCCAGTAAAAGCAATGAGAGGAAGTTATTGTGTTTGAAAAGATGGAAGGCTAGAATCTCGTTACTAGTCATCATCATCATCAAAGACAGCAACATCAGTGTTGCCACTGATGCTTCACTGCCGTACTGGTTGTACGAGGGCTGGGATACTACACCTAGACAGGAGGACGATTAGGGTCCTCAACCAAAGCCTTTGGCTCAAAAGCCTAACCGCAAGGCAGCGGTGTTTGGCGGGAAATGCAAATGCATTACCATTTCTACGGAACAAGCCGCCATACATGTTCCAACCCTCAACCTGGAGGGCCAGGAGACTGTGTTCGTCAGACCTCTAACCATTGACCAACCTGGTATGAGAGACTCTGTGTCGCGCGGACACCCCCCAGTATAGCTCAATGGGTCTCCGAGGTACACAAACCGCCACACCACGGTAAGGTCCAGTCTATTCGTGACGGCTCCCTATCGCCAGAACAAACAGGATATGAGTAATTTAAGTGAGCTATCCATTGCGAGCTTTTAATTCCTCCTACGTGTCACGGTTCAAGGTCTGCCACCCCTTTTGTGTAGCAAAAGTTCGTTGAAGAAAGGTTTCACAACTGAACTATTTAGTGCGGGTCATCGGTGCCTTTCTCTTGAAATGCAGTGTCCGGGTAATAAGATAATGTGACATCACTGAAACCTACTAGAAATCCAGAAGAAAACATTCTATAGAAGGTGATTTAGAACAACGGCGATGGGGCGAAATTGCCCAAGTGGTTAGAGCGCAAATTTACTGACCGGAAGGAAGGTGGTTCGAGCCCGACCTGTCTCTCGGCTTCCCCTGTCTAGGCTTGGGCAACCTGGCAGTACCCCAGCCCTCGTGCAACCTTCGGGTGGTATGGCAGTTAGGCACCTGAAGGGTGCTACAGTTAAAACTAGTCTATTCAGCTAGAAGTTACCGATGATTGACCAACGCATCCAGGTACTCAGCCACAAAGCGCTTACCAATGGTGGCTTACGCTCAGGAGTCATTGGACAGCAACCTATTGGATACTATTGCTAGCTGTGCAGGCGAGTGAATGACAAATCGAACCTGCATACGGGCCGAGAATAACTAATAACTAACTATGAAGATTTCTACGAAACAGATGACTAACACACGACGACTACGTCAATTCGACATTCCTCTCGCCAAGTAACAAACACGTTACCGCCCACAGTTGACTACCAAGATGGCAATAGCAAAGTAGATTCACTGGGGAAGTCAGTTCGGTGATATTCTTCACTAATATGGGGAATGCACAGGAGTGGTGAAGTGAATTTTCAACCACTGATCTAAGCTAGCCCAGTGGTCAACATCGCGGACTACTGTTTTGAAGACCGGCGTCGAATCCTTGCATTGACACCTTCACACTGACTACTAGCTGTTGCCATGACGTGATGGTTCCACAATCGAAAACACAAAAAGATACTTTAGATACTTTGACAGGAACAAAGATGTGACCGCGGCTCTGATGAACGTGCACCAAGATGGATTTTCAGGAAATTGGGTCACAACCTATGACTTCAGATTAAAGAGATCCACATCACATGTTATTTTTAAGTTTATTTAGTCACAGTGACATCGACGAAGCCCTACAAAATAAAAGAAAATAGATGATCACCCAGAAACCCAAATCGACCAGTAACCCACGGGGCCTTGTGTTTGTGGTGTTTGAGGGCACAGCAAAACGGGCAATGTGTGGGAATTCAACCAGATGGACAGGACGAGTCAATGAGGGTGTTCATAGGCTATTCCGTTCTCACGATATTCAGCCGAACCCGTTAAGTCATTCGAAATTCTGACACTATAGTAAGAAGAGACATCATCAACAGGAAGACATCAGTGTTCAACACTGATTCTTCACTGCCGTACAGACGAGACAAGCAGTACTGCGTGCACAGACAGACCTATTTTCGTTCACATAGCCGTCCTGTTCCGTGCTGTTAGTTTTCTTTCAGATTGCCTGAGTGTAGACACCTCAGGATGCTTGCGGTAGCCCAGCACTAGCCGCCTCCAGCTTTGAGTATAATTGGATAAGCCCTCTAGTTATACGACATTGAAGAGTCAGTATCCAAATTGAACTCACTATCTGATGATGATGTATAAAGTGGGCCTTCTTCAACTGGATAATATGGCACTACAAATGTACTTTTGATTCGCCCTGTGAATCAACGGTGAACTGAAGTCATTCTCTCTTGTGTACTGACTACTCATGAGTAACGTGAGTTACGCCGGTATAACTCCGTTTTTTCCCTTGCTGCTCGTTTCACCCTCTTTCTCTCCGACTCAAGGTCTGCTTATACCTTAGTAACTGATGTAAATATTTTGTTGTCCGTCCATCATTGCTTGCAAGTTCTTCCAGTTCTACCTATTTTCGAGCATTCTCTCTAACAGAAAGTACAGACCGACCGGGGACCGAACTCCGAGCTCGTCGAATGCCGGACAAGCGTGTTGTCGACTAGAACAACTCGATAGTGAGTGGGCACCATTTTGTGTAGTACCTATGTACTGCACCTGCCAGATACCCTTTGGGGAGATTTGTCCCAAACGGACCTACGCGCGCAATACGATTTGTCACGCGACACGAGCTGCCGTCAACCAAAGACAGTTCCATACCTTCAGA